TGCCTTGGGGGCCTTAAATTGTTTTTTTTTAGGGGGGGGGGGGCAAATTGGGGGGGGGGGGGGGCGGGGCAAACAAAAAACAGGGGAAGTGGGTTTAACTTCCCCCAAGGCATTTTTCCGCAGTTTTGGGAAAGGGGGTGGGGACCCCAATGGGGTTTTTAAAAATGAAAGACCGTTGGAATCCAGGGCCCCCTCCCAAAAAATTTTACCCCCTTTCCCCCCCCCCCCCCCCCGCCGTTCTCGTGGGAAGGGAACGTGACCACGACATGTTCGGCTCTTTTCGCCAAGCTTCAACTCCTGACTGCACGCACACAATTCATTTGCTTACCTGCTGCATTTGAGATACTTGCTGGGCCTGCTTGAGCGTGATGTGCCCCGACTGGAGCTTCTGCTTGAGGGCCAGCTGCTTGGTCTGGAACAAGGCGTTCATCTGCTGAGCCTGATGACGGAGCTGTCCCACCACAGCAGTTGGTCAGGCGAGAAACAGGCGCAAAACCAAAGCAAAGCAAGAGAGAGCGAAACACAGCGGCGAGTGTTTTCTTTGTTTCCCACAGTCGAACAAACCTGCGCAAGATGCACCATTGCTGCACGGTGCGTCGGGGGCGGGGGGGCATCGAACGTTGCGTCCCCGCCCAGAAAAAAAACATGCAAGACCCAAAAACGCACGAAGCACTTACGGCTGACGGTCACCCGGCACGACACCCCTGACTTCAACTGTAGATTGACGCTGCGAAGGGTTGTGCTGATACATGTATGTGGAGATTGTCTGTCTGGCAACGTCAAGAAGAGTGCCGTCATGGTAAACAACGAGCACAAGGAGAAACCAGTAGAGTATACAAGATGTAGATTGAAGTGGGGGGTCGAGGAGCTTGCAGTAGTGGATCAGTACACGTATGACGGAGTAGAGATCGCAATTGACCGCTCGTGAAATGAACACATGTCCAAGGTAGCGGAAAAGCGCGAAGCACGAGCAGGGAAGCTGCTACCAATACTCGCAACCCGGCACCTCGATACACGCATCCAAATTGACGGTTATGAAGAGCGTAATCGTAGTCAAAGAGCTCGAGGCGGCGCCGGTGAAAGCAGCGACAATCATCCTAGGATGCTCCAAGCGCACAAGTATTGCCGCCGTCAGGGCAGAACTGAGGATCCAATCCTTACGATCGGGAAGACATGTCAGGAAGCTAAAACGGCAGTACCCCATGTGCAGTATGGGAGAGGAGAGGTTGCCGAGAATAGCTTGGGAGGCGAAATGGGCAAATAAGAAGAGGGGTAGACAACCCACGGAGTGGGTCAAGGTTGTAGGTGACGTATGGAAAGAGTTCGAATTTGACGAAGGGGATACGCTGGAAACGGAAGGTCTAGAGAGTTCGAGGAGAAGACATCTGTTGCTTTTACCAAGAGTCAAGAACAGAATCTAACGAAAGAAACCGAGCATCAGGAGGGTCTACATGTGGACGGAAGGTAAAAAGAAGGAATAAGGTTCAAGTAGTGCTTCATGGACCAATGGATGCAGGGACAAAGCTGAAGGTCAAATTCAGGAACGTGGACATTGGCCTTCGATAACGTAGACGAAGATTTAGGAAGGTAGACCATGAAGACGACAAGTAAAAATCTGAATGCGGCCCCGAGTGCGAAGACCGGGTTCACGTAGTTGCGGAATATCCGTTATACAAGAAGGAGAGGGAAGTGTACATGACTGAGCTGGGAAAAATAGAAGGAAGATACAGGGAGATGTTTGAGGCATGGGATAGCCAGGAGAAGACGGTAGCTGTACTGGGGCATTGGAAGTGGGTTGAAAAGGCGGGAACTACATTTGTCTAACCGCTAAGGCACGCAAAAATAAGAGTACGCCGCCGCCCTGCGCCCCACCGCCGGCAAGACTGATGCCAAGCGATTGGCCCGCCGATTTCAGCGTCTGTCAATGCCAACCAAAAAGGACACACACGCACGCACGTTCACACACATCGCTTACCCGCTGTTGCACCTGGCTGGCCAGCAGCTGGGCTTGTACCAGCTGGTTCTGGTGCGTCTGCGCCACCTGCCTCTGCAGCTGCTGCTGCTGCTGCTGCTGCACCACGAGCTGCCTCTGCCGCACCTGCGCCTCGAGCATCGCCTGGAGGTAGGCCTGCTGCTGCTGCTGGCTCGCCACGCCGCCCGCCCCCCCTCCCGCCGCCGCCCCCGCAACCCGCGGCGCGCCCCCCCCGGGTCGCTGTGAGATTCCGACTCGACTGTTACCACCGCCCGCTCCGGCTGGGTTAGAAACGCCTCCGACCGCCACAACTCCCCCAGCCCCGGCCAGGGCCTGTTCTGCCCCGCCGCTTCCCGTTCCAACCCCCCCCCCGATGCCCGCCCCGGCTAACGCCGTCTCGTCCGCGCGTGGTAATCCCCCCCACCCACTGATGCCCCCCTGCGGGACCCCTCCTCCTCTTGCTGCTACCGCCGCCGCCGCCGCCGTTGATGGTAGTCCTGGTGGGTGTCCAGCAATCTGCGGGAGAGGAGAACATGGTCAAGGCTCCGGGTAGCTGTTGTTGTTGCGCATCCACTACAGAAGCAAGAACATCGTGCAAAGCCTAGGGACTTTGACCAAGTGGAGAAGTACCACAAGGAGAGATAAAGACAAGATGGGGCGCACTCTCACAACGGAACGTCGCTCGCGTGACGACGCGGGGGAGGGCAAGGCCGAGAAAAGTCGCTCAACTTCAGCTCTTGAAAAAAGACACTCAACTCTCGAACGAGCACAAGAAAAACAAAGACCAGACGAAAGCAAAAGAACCACGTTCGAGTCCCCGAGAACTTGACGCTGGCTTACAGGCAGACCATACTCATGTCGCCAGGAATACCAATCAAGTCTTGAAGTTTGCAGCAGCTTCCCCCCCCACGCAAGTATCCCGCGTGGATCATGTGGACTTAATTTCGCACCTGCAAGGTCGCCGGCGACAAATCAATCCCTGGAGGTCGGCCGCCCCCCACTACACCCCCCCCAGTCCCCGACTGCCCTCCACCAGCTCCCACCCTGGCGCCACCACCATCCACGCCTCCGCCGCCGCCCCCTGGCCCCGCGCCGCTCCCCGTTGGAGCGGCGGCAACGGCAAGCGGGACCGCCCCACGGGGGCCCGCGGCGGCCGCGGCCACCGACGGCAGTATAGCGGACGGCGCGATCGGAGACGGCAGCACCGTCGGCACGCCGCCGACCCCTCCCGGCGCGGTCACGCTCCCGGGGAGCTCGTCGTAGAAGCTCGCTACCGTGGCGGCTAGGCCCAGCGCCCCATTAGCTGCTGCCGCTGCCGTCGGCGGCACCGCCGCTGTCATGGTCATCGGCGCCGCGCTCGCGTCCGTTGTCCCCGCTTCCGCTGTTGGCAGCGAGAGAAGCTCTTTGCTAGCGGCGGCGGCGGCGCCACCGCCACCACGAGTAGCGGCCGCCGCAGCGGCAGCAAAAGCGGCCGTGAGAGCTGCTGGCGGCTCGTGCTGCTGGGGTATTGTCCGCTCCGCGCTACCGCCGCTGCTACTGCTGCTGGCGCCGACCGTTGCCCGTCCCGGAGACCCCGATCGTTGTTGTTGCCGGGGCCGTTTTCTTTGCGGCCCCGCCGCCCCGCCACCGCCCGCCTGAACCCCTCCCCTTTTCCCAACAGCTGCGCCACCTCTTCTTCTTGTGCCTCCTCTTCCTCCTCTTCCTCCTCTTCCTCCTCCTCCTCCGCCGTTGGTATGGAGATCAGAGCGTCCCACGCCGACGTCGCCGGAGCCTAGAACCCCGCCGCCTTCACCACCAGGAGCAACAACGTGCTGGGATGGGGACTTGTTGCCCTCGGCGGCGGAGGTCTCAGAAGCGCCGGGTAGTAAGCGCGAGGCCAGTTGTTGGGCCGAGGCTGAGTCTGTGGCACGAGCGGCACCGGCGGGCGCCGATACGGCTTGGTTGGCGGCGTTCTCCGGTAGCCCGATCATGCGACGGCGCGCCTCCAGGAGTGTGTTCTCCTCGGCCAGCGGTGTTGACGCCTGGGTCGGGACTAGACCGTGCTGCTGCTGCTGCTGCTGCTGCTGCTGCTGCTGCTGCTGCTGCTGCTGCAGGAGTTGGTGGTGATGCTGCTGCTGAAGGCGATCGATCTGCTGTCGCTGAAGCATCTGCTGCATCAGCTGCTGCTGCTGCACCAGCTGTTGCTGCTGCTGCTGCTGTTGCTGTTGCTGAGCCTGCTGCTGCTGCTGCTGAGTAACGCTTACACCATCAACACCGACGACACCACCGGCGACGCCAATGCCGCCAACGCTCTCCCTGCTGCCCCTGAAACCGCCTGCGCCGAGGACGCCCAAGTCTTCGCTCGAAGAGGGGCGCCCCAGCTGGCTCAACTGCGTCGCCATCTGCGCGCGCATCTGTGCGGCGGGGAGCATGAAGCTCAGCGGCGCCGCGGCTTTGGAGGAAGAGAGCGTGGCCATGCCGCCAGAAGGAAACCCAGAGGGCCCCAACAGCGGTTGCTGCAAGATTCGGACGGGAACGGATGGCACACATACACGCGCGCATAAACAAACGTCCAGCTGTTTCGCGGCTGCTGCTATGCCGTGTACTACTTGGTTGATTCTGCGAAGATTAACGCCGGACGATAACGGGAAAGTCATGTACGTTGTACCGAGAGCTCTCAGAGTTGCCCGGATGAGGAGAGTTGCGCAGCGACATCGCCGCTGTTCTGCCACCCGAAGGCTGCAAACCTTACCGACACTCACGGTTCCGTCTTGTTCACATCGGCTCTTCGACATAAAAAGCGAAGCATGCTCAACCCCACACAGAGTTCTTCCCCGGGGGCTGCCACCAATCAGTGACCTGATCTGGCCCGTGTGTCCCTCTAAACTTGCGAGACTAAATAAGTACATCGGCAATACATACTTTTGAATTCGGCAAGTATCTCCCAGTGGCCACTGTTTTTGTGAATTTTACAGACGTGCACTCGCCGAAAAGCGATCGTGGTTGGAGATATCACAGATCGTGGCCTTTATAGGCATTTTACGTCTTCAACCGCACTGCACTGGGACAGACCTAGTTCTCTTCATTGGTCCGTCAGAGAACGCGGTCGATACTATAGACAAACTCCAGAAAAAGCTCACGTGTTGCTGCAGTGTCGAGGAAGCTGCGTGCCGTCCCTGCCCCTGTAAGCCCTGGAGCAGCAGCAGCTGCTGTTGTTGCTGCTGCTGCTGCTGCTGCTGGCTGTGCACACCGGTTGCGCCACCTCCCGCCCAGGGCGCCCCAGGCCTTGCCGCCATGTCCAATCGGCCGCCCCCAGCCCCGCCTATTCCGCCACCACCCATAACACCAACGCCGGCCCCACCGTTCACCATGTTGAAAGCGCCAAGCTGCTGCTGCTGCTGCTGCTGCTGCTCAGGCAGAAACGCCTGCTGCATGCTGGGCAACCCGGCCGCCATCATACCCGGATCGAAGCCACCGGCGCCGACGCCGACCCTTAGGGGCTCGTTTACGGCAACAGCAGCAGCAGCAGCAGCAGCAGCAGCAGCAGCAGCAGCAGCAGCAGCAGCAGCGTCGTTTGTTCCGCTGTCGTTGATCATTGCCGTCGGGTCTTGGACGGACGGGCTCCCCTCTCGGGCACCTGCCGGGGGGTTGTGACCATTGCCCGCCGCCGCCAGCGCTTGCCGTTCGCCCGGCTGCTGCTGCCCCTGCTGATTACCGAACTCGAACATGGTGTTCTAGATGGATGTTAGGGAACCTACACAAGTAATACCGCTGCGCGTTGTGCTCTGCTGCAGACTTGGAACGCTCCCATCACGCGAGCCTGTCCGAAATAGGAGCCCGAATCGTCGCGACCCCTAAAGGTGCTCCTCCTATATGGCCGTGCTTCGTCCACTCGATCCCCCTGCTGTCACCCACACCCCCGGTCGAAGAAAAGGACTTATTTTTCGGTGCCAGAGTTCGAGCTCTGCTGTCTTTTTCGCGGCCTGCCTTACGAGAGAGAGAGAGTTCGCAACAAAGAGAGGCGAGGGGGGAGGGGGGAGGTAAGTTACTCATTATTTACCCTCGTCAGTTCACCATTGACCACGCATCTCTTTCTAGCGGAAGCACCACCGCTGTTCCTCCTCGTCTTTGTCGAAGAGGCACCGTACAGTATGCATACCATTCGGCACACCAAGGAGAAAGTCACCTTAGCTATTCTTCTCTTTGCTCTCTTACAAACCACGTGAGATTGATTCATCTCTTGCACAGATGAAGAGTCCGGGATAGATGACCAATGACTTCATAGTGTTGTGTGGTGTTTTAGTAGTTGACATCCTGGGCGAGCTCGTGCTCACTACATAAAAAACTTTCTTCACTAAATAGATATATCCCCCAAACAAGGAGCACCGTCGAGACGAAGGGTGTGGGGGTGGGGGTGGGGTCGAAGGGCGTGCCAACCACTAACCTAAACCCTGGACGGCAACCTGCTGACAGTCCCAAAATTTTGTCCCTAACATGTGCTGCTGCTGTCGCTCTGATGTGTGACCACGGCGTTTTCCTCTTTTAACACATTACAAAGCTCCGCTACGTGTATCTACACCATTGGGGGTCCCCGATTAAGGCGGTGGTGGGCAGCTTGACAACCGCCTATATTATTGCGTCCCCAAAACCGAAACAAAACAGAGTACCAAAACAAAAAACACACCCAACCATCAGCATGTATCTGGACTACACCGTCGATTCACACAACGTGCTAATATTACAGTAGTGTCGTCACGTATGGCGTGAAGAGGCGAGCGGAGGGGTTCCAGACTACTATCTGTCGTTCATTTCTGTTGGTTTGCGGACCCTTCGGGGCCATTGATTTCAGTATATACCCCTGGGAAAGTTAGTCTGTGACCACGGGAATTATTTTTTCTCACAGGACTCCTAAAGGACGAAAAACACAAAGAGAACGCACACACTTATTTTACGTATTTATCGCCCTACATGCATGCCAATGGTTGTGGTGACTACTACAATAGTGCTTCCAATGTAATAATAATTCACGAGAGAAAGAAATTCCTGCAGGGTCGGAAGTCAGTTTCTTTTTTTCTGTTGGAAAGTGTGGGGCGCGGGTTTTGGCGGCAACACACACACTATCGGCCCCGTAGGCCCGTGCGCTGGCACGAACGTTGGTCCTACCTGCCTGTACTTGGTTTGTTACACCGCCGCTGGTGGTGTGTCTTTACGACGGTACACCAAACTTCCCACAGCAATCGATACAATACCACCACATCATCATGGAAGACGCGGGTTCTTCCACAGGTACAACTACAACACATCATGCGTCGAAAGAAAAAAAAAATAACTTGTGCCCCCTCTGGTACAACCAACATCACGGCGGTATATATTTGGCATTATGTGTGTCGTGGGAGCTTGCGCACACACCCGCTTTTCCCGTGATTGCGTCGGCTGTACTCGCGAATCCGGCTACACCATCGCAAGGGCAAGCGGTGGCGTGCGACTCCGCGCTTGATATACTGCTCCTCGAGGAACAATCGCGGCTGCTGTGTAGCCGGCCTACTTTTCTTGCTGTACAGCAGCCACGTCACCGCACGTGTTTCTTTGGTCGGTGATGCTGCTGCTGTCACATTTAGAAAAATCAGAGCCGGGCCGCAGCAGCAGCAGCAGCAGCGTGCAGCAGTCAGCGTGTGGACATGGCTGTGCTGGCTGCCGCCTGGTTTCCGGTGTATGGACCAGCCAGACGTGCAAACTCGCAGCAAACAGGAATCAGGCAAGCCGCCCACAGGCAGCAAAGAGTACTACAGAGTGCTGATGCCGCTTGGTAACCGCGAGAGCTCCGGCGATGATGGGTGTGACATGTACTTCCACGTGCGGAGACGACACGAGAGGGATGGAGAGAGAAACAGAAGCGATCTTTTCAAAACCGCACCCAACGCAACTGCTGCTGCTGTTGCAAGCGGGAACATCTGACAGTCGGTGCGAGAGGGGGGTGGAGAGTGCAACACGCGTTTCGATGGCCGAAGCAGCTTGGCGCGGAGTCGGCGAAATAAAAAATACGAGCTCTGCGCTGCTGAAAACCGATCGCGCGAGGAAAGCTCACGTATACACTAGCAGCGCCGTGAGTGGGGAATGATTCATGGTGACATTGATTTCTTGATCGAGAGACAAAGATACTCCTAAGAAGCTTTGTCTTGCCCCGCACGGTCGAACACCGAACGAGTCCCCTCCCTCTCCCGGGCTGTAAGGGCCTTGGTACACATGCATCATTGGCCAAAAACGCAAAACAGCAGAGAGGACGAAGACAAAACGTTGCAAGTTTGTGTTTTTTGTAGAGAGAGATTCGGCCACAACCAAGAACTCGACAAACACACCAATGTGAGGGCGCTTTGCTCACCTGACGAAACAATCAGCGGCACTCCGTGTCTATCCGATTGTCTCACAAGGTAACCTCTTCCTTTCGCCCGCCTCTGCCCTATCCTATCCTGTGTGCCCTGTTTGTGTTGCCATGTCTGCCCCCACACCCAACTGGATGGTGTCACAGAGGGACCATTGTGCCGCTAACATTCTACGGAGCCCCCCGAAAAATAAAAAACGTGGGAGGGTGGGAGCGGATGACAGCAGCAACGTCATATGATGACACAGCAGTTGCAACATATTCAGGTTGGCATGTGCATACTATTCCAAGCTCTGCCCAGTACTGTACACTGCTGTATTGGTGCACCTGACGCAGGAGCCTTTTCCGTGCTCCTTGAAAGGTGGCCACAGGTGCATTTTCAAATTATTTCAAAAGTGGACGTTGGAGAATAATGAAAATGACGCCGGTGTCGTGTGGTCTGTCGTGGAGTCCACAGGTCGTACGTGTTCTTTTTTTTTTTTTGCACTCATGACCGCCATCATCTCGCTGCTGCTGTGGTTTCCAAGATGTAACATCTCCTGTGGTTGGCGTATGTATTGACGAACGACCAAAATAATATTTCTATGTACAACTCTCTACAACAACAACAGC